CTTGCTATCAAAGGATCTCTCTGCGGCTAGTCAGAGGATTGCGAATCGGGTTGGAACAAACAACTTCTCGTCATTGGTACTGGGTTGGAATACGACAAGGGCTAACAGATGTTTACAGAGCGGTACTTTGAGCTGCTGAAGGATGCAAAGGTCAAGGGATACCTCTTTGCACAACAAAATTATCTCGACGAGCCGTACAAGTCGTACAAGAAATAGAAGAGAATACTGGGCGCATGGTTGGTCCATGGAGGTCCATAGAGCTGGCCGAATCGATTTCGACATAAAGAGGACAACGCAGACGCAGGAGTAGTCTTATGCGAAGAGGCTCAACAGGGCGTGACTGGGTTATTCTGCACCGGCAAATTTGTACATATACCAGCCAGAGACAGGAAAGTTATGAAACGTGGGCATAACGCTGATCCCAAACAACAAATGAATGAGTACTAAGCAGCATTCCTACACGTACATTTGATACTGCATGACTAATTCTAGGATTTCGGAGCATTTGTACTCCTGGCTGCAAGCCTAATGACATGATGCGGCCAAGCCGAGCGCGTCTAACCCCACCACAGCGGCGTAGCTGCATCAACAGCTCCAGACAGGACTCCCCCCTTTGACATTTGGCAAAATGCCCTTTCCTTTTGTACTACCAACAACATCCAGCATATCATTCACCGACTATTTCAGCAGTAGCACTCACCCTTCACTACCAAATTGTGCGACAACTGCGCGAGGCGTGGTCCGCGACGTCCTTAAGCGGCACAAGCGCATCCCAGCATCCTCACAAGCCTCGAATCTCTCGACTCTACAGTCGGCCCTCAACGATTACATACCTTACCTTTTCGCGCTAGATGCTGGCCTTAGCGGAACCAGTTGCGCTGGAGAAGAAGTTGACCTTGTGCTAGTGAAAGAGCTGGAGGTAGAATGGCGCTCCACACTCGGTACATCGATACCAGGACGCGAGCCAGTGAGAATAAAACTGAAGAGCCTGGAGAGTGAACTATGCTTTACTCTGTCAACTCTGGCCTATGTATACAGCCTACAAGCTCGGGCACAACTACACACCCTCTACAGTTCAACACTTCCATCGCCAGAACAACGCGCAACAGCGATTGGCGCTGCAATGAAGCAGTTCCTCGAAGCGAACTCAGTACACACATACTTGGTCAATCGAGCAGGCCAATGGAACTCTCAACCCGCAGCCGTCGACATCTCGGCATCTACTATGGGCGCACTGGCTGCGTTGACAATGGCCGAGGCAACACTCATCACGGTTCTAAAGGATGATCCTTACCCAGCAGTCGTGATCGAGGATAGAAATAAGCAGAACAAGGACTGGATGTTCAAAGGTGTTGAAATACCCAAAGTCCGCACTCATCTCTTCGCCCGCTTGTGTCTTGCCTCCTCCGAGCACGCTGCAAAAGCCCAAGCCATGCTAAGTCAATCTTCGAAGATTAACGATGAACTGCTAAAGTATGTTGATGATTTAAGGCGAACGACAAAAGGCAAAGCGTGTCGTTTCCTAGCCTGCGATGCTGAAACAGGCGGCAAGACTGGGGAGGGGATCGCATGGCTACGTGGGGCCAAGAAAGAGCTGGGGTTTGCTTCTCTGATCGCTGATGAAGAAAAAAAGGCCTCTGGCTTCTCAAAACTCAAGAAAGAATGGCAAGAAAAACGAGAAGATCGTAAGATTGAGAAAGGCGCGGACTGGGGAACGGATGCAGGCAAGTTCGAAGAGGGCCGCATCCTTGACATGCTCCTCAAGAAGTGGGAGAAAATGAACGATACTGTAGGTCTATCTGTCGAATGGTCAAATAGTAGTCTGCTCACATATTCAGATCGGTGTTCAATTGATTCCTCCATCTGAACCACTACTGGCAAGCATGCCGTCCGGCAGAGAGTATCATACAACGAAGATGTTTGTCATCCCGGCACTGGGTGAGGATGCCCTTATTCGTATGAGAGCACCACCAGATCCAGCCGATGTATTCAAGGGCGACGAAGATGACAGTGCTGATGAAGATGAGAGAAATCCTCCAGCTGGAGCATTTCCGGGTACCAAGTCAGATTACACTGCCGGTACGAGTTATTATTAAGAGACCTACGTAAGACATTACGATGGCAATTTTCTGCGCTACTTTTTATTCACATTGTATCGTTGCAGCTGATTTGCGTCACGTCCATTTTCTACCACGGAGAGAATACGCTTACCTATTATAGCAGGTCTAGCCGTGCCCAGGATGAATACCCCCAGGTCTGATCTAAACGATTAGGACTATCTCTCTCAAATATATGCCGGATTCCATTCCCTTTCTCGAGTACTTTCAACGCATCCGTGACATTTCATTCATGACTTTTTAAAAAAGCCATCCTCGTTGCTAAAGTACCAGTAGTGATTTCGCAAACAATAAATTTGCTTAAGCAACCTAGTCCATCGTCCGAGATCCGCTGGGCTAGGCGAACTGCCACTGATAACAAGTATGTCCGACGCCAATTGTCATTCGCTGCCATCAAGCCTATCGCCACGGCGCTGGGATAACGGACCGTCGTGCACGTCCATCTTCCCCGCTTCTGATAGCGAGCATCAGAACTATGCTAGCCTAACCCTGCACCAACGCGCTTGTGCATCGCATCCCTACATACCTACTTATATATCACGACCTTCAGCTGCGCGCTCATAGACTATACATTCCGGCTTAACATGACCTTTTGAAGACAAGCGGTACCTTACCTACCTACCTGCCTACCCACCATCTATTCCATGCGACACCATTGACCGGCCCGCTACTAGTGCCCCGCCTGATCTTTCACGCGACCATGACTACCGAGCGTACGTCGTCGCATCGACACCGTACAGTAGCTGACGAGCCTGTTTCGTCCATCCTGCCCCAGGGCGATGTACCTTACGACCCGAGCCATGAATTCTCGGCCGACGAAGAGGTGCTTGCCGCACTTGGATACAAGAGCGAGTTCAAGCGCGAGTTTTCGCTGTTTACTACGTTTTGTGTAAGCTTTGCGGTTTTGGGATTGCTTCCTAGTTTCGCGAGTACGTTGTTTTACGGCATGGGGTATGCGGGTACTGCGGGTATGACGTGGGGCTGGGTGATTGCTATGCTGGGGATTCAGTGCGTAGCGATGAGTATGGCGGAACTGTGTAGCTCCATGCCTACGAGTGGAGGATTGTATTATGCTGCTGCGGTCCTGGCGCCTCCGGGTTGGGGACCGTTTGCTGCGTGGATTACGGGTTGGAGCAATTGGTGTGCTCAAGTCACTGCAGCCCCGTCTGGTAAGGACTCGATCGGCTTTTCTCGATGTGAGCATTCGGAATACTGACATGACTTATAGTTAATTACGGAATTTCGGCCATGATACTGGCTGCTGCTTCCATCAACAATCCAGACTATGTCCCGAAGGATTATCAGGTCTTCCTCCTTACTGTTTTTATCATGATTATTCATGCTATCATGAGCTCCATGCCCACCAAATGGCTTGCCCAATTCAATAGCGCTGGATCTACTTTCAACTTCCTTGCGCTCGTCGTCGTCATCATTCTGATCCCGGCTGGCACAAACCGCACATCGCGTGATTTGCCCCGCTTTTCTCCATCCAGCGAAGTTTGGGGTACGATATACCCGGGCACTGCATACGCACCTGGTGTATCGGTACTAATGAGCTTCATTGGAGTCATCTGGACTATGAGCGGATACGACAGCCCTTTCCACTTGGCTGAAGAGTGCTCGAATGCAAATATTGCATCCCCGCGTGCCATCGTCTTGACTTCAGCGACTGGTGGTCTATTTGGTTGGTTCCTCCAGCTCGTAGTCGCATACACTGTCGTAGATATTGCAGAAGTCCTGGACTCTGATCTCGGACAACCGTTTGCTGCATATCTTATGCAATGTATGACGCAAAAGATGACCTTAGCGATCCTTGCGCTCACCATTATCGCTGGCTTTTCAATGGGCCAGGGATGTATGATTGCTGCATCTCGAGTCACTTTTGCGTATGCACGTGATGACTGCTTCCCACTGAGCAAGTATTGGAAGAGGGTAAACAAGCACACGCAAACACCAGCGAATGCTGTGTGGTTTAACTGTGTCATTGGAATACTTTTGCTGCTTCTGATATTCGGAGGAAGTTTGGCTATCGGCGCGCTATTCTCGATTGGAGCCATCTCAGCTTTTGTGTGAGTATCAAGGTACACATTTCGTGGAGTGGTAATGAAGCTGACCATGAACCTACAGTGCATTCACTATACCCATTTTCATCCGCGTGTTTCTAGTTGGAAATAGGTTTCGTCCCGGGCCATGGAACCTAGGCAAACTCTCCGTTCCCATTGGCGCATTTGCGTCTGTATTCGTCGCACTCATGGTACCTATCCTGTGCCTACCTAGTGTTGTTGGCGCAGAACTTGAGTACGTCTTCAATTTCAGCCCATTGCATTTAGGCTTGCTAACTCCAGAGTAGCGCCAAGAACATGAACTGGACCTGTGTCGTATACGGCGGCCCGATGTTCTTCGTCACGGTATGGTGGTTTGTCTCAGCACACAAATGGTTCAAGGGACCAAAGGTTAACATCGAGCACATGATGCTTGGCAGAGGAGATGTCGTAGAAGGCGAGGAGGCGAAAGACCAGGATGCCTCGTCAGGCGAGACACCACCATCCACTAAGATGCAACAAGTCAAACTATGAGACAAGCGCCCTGAAATGTAAAATATGGCTTTCCGATTGCGCATATCTCGGCTTTATTATGAGTCCTTGAACATCATAAACGGTGGGTATTAGGCAGCAAATACTTTTGTGTAGTGTATACCCTGCGATCGTTGATTTGGAAGTCATGCCGGCGTTTGCCGACGACGATAGCGCCCAAATGAACTTTTTACCGTATCTTTCTTATAGCACCCCGAGAGATGATTTCTCATTTGGTCGTACAATTTAATACTTTATATACTCTGTTTGGTGCCGATTGTTCCCATCAGACCTGTCAAGCACAGGACCATCTCCGATCGTATAGTGGTTAGTATTTAGGCTTGTCATCTGCAGTTAGACAACTCGCCGAAGTCCAGGGTTCGTTCAATTCCCCGTCTGAGAGATCCTTCTTTTGCTTGAGTGTTGTTATCATTTTCAATTAGTTGATTGTGTTGCGGGATGAGTGGGTGACTGTATCTTGATTTATGAGATGGGCACGTGCGCTCACACGTTTTGAACAGGACAAGCTTTTACTCCATATTGCAATCACAATGATTGAAGTCGGGCGTGGCTTGACGCTATCATTGAAGCATGAGTATAGAGTTCGCATCATCTGATTAACTACTCTATTTTTGGTGTCTTTGAGCGCAGTCCGTCTAAGATTCAAGAGGTCATTTCCGGAACTACGTAAGTTGTACGAAGTCCGTTTAGTGACACGAGGCCATACTTTGCAGCTTTTTTTGCTATCATTGCGATATCTTACTACAGACCAAAGTAGAGATATAATAGCAGAGTAGAATATATCAAGAGTGTGTCTTCCATAACAAGTCAGCTTCATCTGAGAGTTACTCATTGCGCTACGAGCAAGGCAAGATATACTAACTACCAAGTTACACCTTGCAGGACTAACGAGGTAAAACCTACGGACTACAAATTTTACCTTGTTTCCAAAAGCTACATAATGGTTCGCTTGTGGCTTACATTTCTCCGCAAGAACACTAAGTCAAGCTCGCTTACCGAATGTCTCTGTCTTCACCCTACTATGCTAAGCGAGCTTTAGGACAGTTTGTAGCTGGCTTAGTATTCCTTTTGATATATATATAATAACGGTAGCTCTTCTAATGCGCGTATCCTTAAGTGCACTTGTTCTCATACTGAGACGAACTGTTAGACGTCTACACAACGATGGGCGAAGAAGCAGTGCCACTGCTCAGGCGCGCCTCTCATTCATTGGTCTTTCTCCCCTCTCGGTCCAAGGCTATATTCAGGCCTAGAATATTAAATTTTAAAGTCATCATCACAATATGCATCCTCCTCATAGTACTTCCAATTCTCTTTTGGAGTAGAGATTCGCTCAAAGACCTCTCGGTTTCATACCCTCGACCATTTATACGGCCAATTCCTCAATTCGTTGCCGACGGTGATTCGCAGTGCCTTCCGTCTGTATCCGCGGAGTTAATACAGGAATCGATCTACAAGCACGCTACGTGTCGCAAGTTCTCTCCCTTTAGAACTGGAAGAGCCCGTGTTGCAACCGTCACTGCACATTTTGGTGCTATATCTGAACATTACCAGAAGGCTTTTCGGACACATCTGCTTCACAGCTTGATCCATGGCACCGAAGTCAGGGTCATGTGTGATCCGATCATCGATGATCTCTGGAACAAGCCGGCCTTCATACTCAATCTTCTCATGCGCGAGACAATGAAGCCAGCGAAAGAACGTTTAGAGTGGATCATGTGGGCCGACCGTGATACCGTAATCCTTGATCAGTGCAGGCCAATTTCCTCTTTCCTGCCTCCTGAGAGGTCACGGCTTGAGTCATGGTGGCACTACAAGCAAACAAGCCAGAATGGATCAGACGAAAAGGGTAGAGATAGGACAGAAGTCAACCTTCTTGTGACTAGAGACTGGAATGGTTTGAACAACGGAGTCTTTTTTCTCCGCGTCAACGAATGGGCAATCTCACTTTTTACTGCCATCCTCGCATTCCGACACTACAAACCTGATGTCACTCTCCCCTTCACTGAACAGTCTGCGATGGAGCATGTCCTTCGAACAGAAGACTTCATACATCAGACAGAGTATGTGCCACAACATTGGTTCAATGCATACGATGAAGGTGGCGCAATGGTGTTTGCGTCAAGGAATGACATGATGCATGTAGGGCAAGATAAGGCAAGGAAAGGGGATTACTTGGTTCATTTTGCTGGTAACCCAACGAAGGCTAAGGCAATTGTGGAGTACACCGATATGCTGCAGGGGCTTCCTGATGTATGGGAGAATGGAACAGTCCAGAGGGATAGTTCTATGGACATCATCGACTTTTGGAATCGCTTGGGATATTAGTGATATTAGTGATCACGCCTAGGCGGGAGGCGAAATGCAGCAATCCATTGATTTTCGGCCCCACTGTCTGCATTGCGCGCGCTAGGCATGGCGCGCACCCTGGCCCCTTTCGATGGTTCTTCGGTAGAATTTTATCGGCATCGCCTCGCTAGCCCATGATGAACGTGCACCTTGACCAAATCGCCCACGTGGCAATGATTCGCTAGGGTTGGTTCCACGCACCTGGGTAATGTCACTCTTTGCTGCTCAGTGGAGTCATGGGCAAGGCGACCCTATACCTATCACTCTGCATGGCACTTGATGCACGAGTCAAAGATATAGAGTGACGGACAAACTACTTACTACAATAGGAACTAAGCTTCTAGGTATACTATTCCCCCGTTTCACGCGAAGGATCAATGCAATGCCGGGATTTACAATGTCTCATGACATTCATGTCGTTTCGCCTCCCAACCGAGTTGACGTCTCGCGCTAAACGTTCTGCTTCCGTTGCAGATATGCATTGAAAATGCAGTCTTTGCTCACCATTCACGCCTTTTTCTACGCTTCACCTTCGCCAGACTTGCCCACGGTCGAGTCAAAATAGTTGAGGTTGTGGCTTGACGCCAGCCACTCGCCCCGACCCACAAGACCCTAATATCCGGCTTAGATGTACGGCTGATTGCCAATATACATAGGCTGGTAGGGGCACTTGGATTTCCAAAGGTGAGTTCGGCCATAAAGATACCCCGTGTGCAGTTCGGCGCGTTGGGATCGCAGCACGTTGTGTCACATACCGATCAATACCCCAGAGTGCCTTGTCTCATGCAGATCCATGCAACTAAACCCTACGCCAGACTCATATGCACCTCGTACGAAGTTCGTTGATCAAGCGTCTCCGCTATTAGGAGGACCCACCACGCAATTACGTTCCTGGCGATCGACATCTCACTAGGTTACCTAACAATCTTGAAAATTTCTTGCGATTTCCTATCTTACTCTTCAAACACAGTGCGGATAGCTAAGCCACTACGGCCAGCATGTCCGTCCTAGAGCCCGAGGCGGGCATCTTCTACGGCCTTTGTTGGATCGCCGTCTTTACCAGATTCGCTTCAAGAAGGATTCTCCTAGGCTCATGGAGGCACCTTCAGCTCGATGACTACCTCATAGTTTTGGCTATGGTACGGAGCTCTCTAGCAGACTACAACCAAGAACCGACTAACTTCTGAACTAGGTCACCAATACTGTCCTCATAGCTCTCATGCACCAACTTGTTCAGACAAATAGTAACCTCCTTCCACCAGGAGTGGACGTGTCAAAGTTTAGCACAGAAGAAATAGACGGTCGCATTTATGGCTCCAAGCTAGTCTTGGTGGTTGAACAGATGCAAATTTTGACCATATGGTTGATCAAGGCATGCCTGCTCATTATGTACAAACGGATGACAACCGTCCTGCCGCAGCACAGAATCGTCGTTGCTACAGCCATATATGTTGCAATCTCATTTGTATGCATCGCACCCATTCCTTTACACACACCCCCTAAGTCATAATACAGGTTGTCATGGAAATTCTTTACTTCGCAGTGTGGTGTCGACCATTCGTTGAATATTGGGCAGTACCAACCAACTCCGGTAAGCTATACATCCTAATCTTTTATCAAGTACAGTGCTAACAGTATCAGAACAATGCTCTGCCGCAACCAACCACCTCATCACGAATGCCATCTTCAACATCTCCTCCGACCTTATCATTATCAGCATACCATTGCCTCTCTTGTTCAAGGTCCGCCTACCGACGAAGAATAAAGTTGTACTCTTGAGCGTCTTCTTGATTGGTGCATTCACGTACGTTGCGTCTATGACATTTTCTTACTTCTCGCTGACCTTTGGCAGTATCGTGGCAGCCGTCCTCAACAAATACTACTCATTCATGAATCCATTCGGCACAGAGTGGACCATTTGGTATCTTAGAGAGTCATATACCGCCATTCTCTGCGCCAATCTTCCGCTCATCTACCCACTTATCCAACGTCTCTTCAGATTAAGAAACTGGAGTGGTCAGGGGTACGCCACAGATCCGGAACAGCGATCTCGACGCACCGGAAACTCCGCTCACCCAAATTGGAGTGTGCCAAAACCTAAGCCGGCACATAGGGGCACAGTCCGTCGAACAGAGAGTCAGGAAATCATTGGCCGCAGCGTCAATGATGAGAGAGATGAAACTCCACAGTTCATCACTAGTGCTATAACTATGGATGTTATGAAATCGCCAAGTATAGATACTCAAGTGACCTGGGGACCCGGGGATGACAGTAAAAAGGTACGCGATCCATATCAAGCTGTTTAATTATGGTGTCCAGCTAGAAGCTTAGGATTAATTACATGATGATTTTCACGATGGCGATGATGTTTTACATAGTGCATGTAGTGCGCGTGAGGAATCGCATAGAGCACCATGTTGGCCCTGCATCAAGGGACGCTAACCATCACGGTACATCAAGTCGAAATGACAGAGAACATAATTCAAACCTTACAACCCCTTTGGAAGCTTTGCAAAATTGTATCTTCAATTGGACCTAAGCCACGAATCAATGTACGTTCACGACGTTATTATCATAGGAGCTGGTCCAGCTGGGCTCGCAGCTGCCGCCAGACTCCATGAATACACTCCTTCAGCGACCTTCACAGATGATGAGCATCAACGCTATCACTGGATCAAGAAACACGGTCGGAAGATGAACATCAAAAACTACAGGACCAACCAGGATTCCTTGCCAACACCGCCATCGAGTCCAGAGACGTCAGACTGTGGATGCAACAATCACGCGTCTGAAGAAGCGCTCGATATGTTAGTTCTAGACGCGGACGGCGGAGAATGGATGTCGAAATGGAACCGCTTATTCAAAACTTTTGGTATCGACTACTTGCGTAGCCCAATGTTCTTTCAGATTGACCCCGCCGACAGAGATGCCTTGCTTGCCTTTGCCTACGAGAAGGAGCGAGAGAAGGAGCTTCAAGCACTCCCGGGATGCGCAGGTAAAGAAGTCAGTAAACACAAGAAGAAGAAACGATTG